GATTGTATGGTGTTCATAATCTGAAGTTTGCGAAATTACTGCTCAAATTATGAATATAATTTTCAGATTATACAATCAAGACGACGTGTCTTGTTAATACTAGTGATCATAAATCTCAACATTTTAATAAGTGTTAATTGAGATGTCGATAAATGATTTAACACTATTACTTGTTAAAGATCTCAATTCTTGTAACTGAGAATAAAGTACTTCCTATTTCTATTGAGGGAATACTATTATGCAACTAGCCAACATCAAGTTCTCCCTATTATAATTGGCTTATGGTCAGAGCTTGATTTTTTCATCTAATTATTTGATAGTGCAACACATATACATATATAATCCATCACATTGCGCTGAGATGAGAAGTAAGGAATGATAAGAATAAATGCGTAGTTTAAAAGTTTATCCCAAATGAGTGATATTTTATAACGCAATTTGTTGATTGTCAATTTGATAGAACAATTTTCTTCGCATTAGGGAGATGAATTATGAAGCTAAAAGTAACAGTAAATTCATCATTATTTAAATTCTTGTAAAAGATAATTTATTTAGCACTTGTTTGATACCAATTATTTCAAAAATACATTTTTTCTCTTATTTTCAACCATATATTTTTTAATAAAATAATATTACACGCAAACCAAAAACTTTTCCTTACGATTTCAACAAGTAGACGATTTTTTTTTGTCTTTTCAATCTTTCTTTATAGTTTCAACATTTCTTTAAAAATTAAATAGAATAAACAAAACAGCACTCAATTAAATAGAATAAGAAATATTAAAGTAAATCCTTTATTTAGCTTCGTATAAGTAAATATTTTTATTATCCTTAATTACTATGATTCTATTGCACTTCATGTAAAACCCACTTCCCCAATCACTTAACACTCAATTACGCAGACAGTATACAAACAAATCCGTTAAGCAAAAGAGAAGGTTGAATTTGATTTGAAATTATTTAGAAGCGGATGAAAGGAACTTTTGAAGGTAAAAAAAAAAAAATTACGAAGTTGGAAAAATTATTAGATGCACGTTAATTTCTAAGTAGACTAATGGCTTCCAGAGTCATAAAAGTCATGAAGTAAATCAAAACACAAATGAAGTCCAAATGAACAAATATAAAATGGCAGGAATCGTAATAATATAATCAAGGAACATGGCTAAGTCTCAGCATTTATAATATAAAATATAAATTTAATAATTCACATAAATTACACAATAACAAGAAACCAAGTGTAATGGATAATCTTACATTGTAAGACTTGGATTCACACAGTTTCACAATTTTATTTAAAGAGGAAATTGTTGACATAATTACAAAAATCAAGACTTAAAGGGTGGGGACTGGTGATGGAATAGAAAAGCAAAAGTGATGGGAACTTACATTTGTACAGAAGTCTTGGGTTCATGAACAGTAACAACCGGCCCATTGAAATTGCCAAACCAATTCTGTGGGTTGTTAGAGCCTCATTTTTTTCAAAAAAATGGATTTTATAATAGCGTTATGATGAAGAATCTATGAATAAAAATAAAAAAAGTTTTGAGTTTATGTATAATATTGTTTTATTGAATAATATGTGATTGAAATGATGTTAAAGTACTGTTCAAAAATACATTTTAATGAAAAAATGAGGCTCGAACAAGGATTAAAAGGTCTAGTGTGAAACCCAACTTTGATCAGTAACAGTTGTTAAAGTCTTTTGAGGTATACTAGTTTTAACCCGTTCATTGCACGGGGTGTGTTATTTTGAAGGTGATATTAGCATTTTAAATTTTATGTATTTTGGACTTGATAGTCATAATGTTCTATAATTTGGAATAGATTGAAGACAGTAAAGTAATCTAAATAAAAAATAGTCAGTATTTCTTGGATTTCATAGAAACATCCAAATTGACTAATATTTTTATCTGTCTATGTTAGATTACAAATTCAAAAATATATTCAAGGTTGTAAATTGCAAAAACAAATGACATGTATGTACAAGGAGAATACAAATGAAGATCTATA